CATCACTTTCTGATATTCCAGGCATTTCATGCTCAAGCAAACTTCGAGCTTTACCTGCAGGAAAGTTGACATGCAAATGTAGTAACAAGTTGGGTTATTAGTTGAGAAAAATGTGACAATAGCCCATAAAATGACAATGTAATTATTGACTTAAAAGTATCATTAAAGTTGTTTCATTTTTTTCTAAATTGCTGAAATATACTATAATCAAAAAATTATACAATTTTTAAATAAGGTATTGTCAAGCTTCTGAGAAAATTGATATGATTCTTAATAAATTTTGAAAAAAATAATATATATATATATTACAACATACATAAGTAAGTGAACATTTTAAATTAGTAAAAAACTTTGATAGCTAGACATCTGTCGTGTTTGCCTATGCTTACCTCTAACAGATGATTTAGAGGCAGATGCAGGAGATAATCCATCCTCATTATTTCCAAATGGATTAAGTGTGGGCACAACAAATAAGGCAAATGACAATAGTAACACCTGGGAAAAAAAAACATAATACACATAGAAATTAAATCATATTATCTAGATTATCTCATATACATAAATATTATTGAAATTTTTTTTAAATTATCAGTTAAAACCATCTTTACAATTATTTACAAGATTAAGGATTATGTCATCATTATTTTTTCACCAAAGGTTTATATCAATCCCAATATTTGTTTTTTATCAATAAAATATAAGTATATACACATACCATAATACATGTTGAAGCTTGTGGGGACATTTTTGATTTGCCCACTAGAGTCTGCAAACGTTTGAGCTGTGCTATTAGAGATCTGTAGAATACATTTCATATGCAAGAATTGATAAGCAGAGTAGGGAAAATACAAAATTATAGCCCTTAACTAAGCAAAAATGCATTTATGGTGAATCATTGTTAATTGTTCAAATTATTAGCTTCTATTTATAGTTAAAACTAGTTACACTGAGTATAACTGTATGAAAACCCACTCTGTCAGTAAGGACAAGTAAGTTTTATCTTGAAATAACAGGGTTTCTGATATACATAATTATGATATTACTGGCTTTGAAAGAATCATCTATATATCTATCTGAACTTACACATTCTGTTTCTCCAAATTATCTACTTTTTTCAAAAGTTCTCGATTCTCTGCAGTGCATAATTTAACTCTTTGTTCAAGGCCGTCGACATAACCTTGTTTTCTTTTACGACTTTCTTTGGCTGAAATCTGCAAGACATTAAAATAAGTTTTCGAACTGGTTAGCTAAATATGACTACTTCATTGTTTATCAGAATTTGGAAATTTTGTATTAAATTTAATTAATCAATGTAATGCTGGTAATTTTTTTAAAAATGTTGAAAATGGTTTAACAGAAATAATTTTAAAATTATTTGAATTACTTTGTTTCTGATTTTCCTCCTAACAGCTTTGAGGACTCTCTCTTCATCTCGTGTTAAAGGAAGATTTGTAGGTAAACTAACTCCTTCCCTGGCCAGTAATTCTTTTTCCTCATCCGTTAGTCTCAATTCAGGAAACTAAGAATAGTAACATAAGTTTTTTTACCAACATAATTCTTTAAAACTTTTGAAAAAATCAAGGTTATGTTTACAAAGAGAAATGCTCATAGTTTCCATAAATTAATACTGCTACTTGTTGACATTTTTTATTCTTACAATCCTATTGATATTCAGAAGATAACTCTTCAAGCAATAAAATACAGTAAGAAAGAAAAACAAAAGAAAAGACTATAGAGAAAGGTGTTGAAGACATAATGGAACATAAAGAAAACCAGAAGAAATTTAAAAGAAGATAGAGGGACAATGTGAAATAAATAAAAGAAACTAACAATGTCTAAAGCACTTTAGTCTAAGTACTGTCTTAAAAATCACTATTGCCAACTAAGTCATAATAATTGCTTAAATTGCAACAATAAAAAGAGCTTAGAAATTATTCTCAAAATTTTCTTTTTATACAAAGCTTACCTATACTTCCTATATACACTAAAAAATATCTATTTATGGGTTTTACTTCATTTATAAAAAAGATTGCTAAAGAAAAGTAACTTTGCGGATGGCTGCCTGGTCGTGCGGTTTGCGCGCTGGACTGTCGTTCGGATTTATCGATGGTCGAGGGTTCAAATCCTGCCCGCTCCCATCCCCCGTCATCCTGCGGGAGGTTTGGACTAGGAAGTAAACTATCTTCAACTCTGAAGGAACATCCGAAACATGTAAAACATTTTACAAACATTTTTTTACAACTAGCAAATGCTTACATTTGTTGTAGTGCTAGAAACATGTGGGTCAATATCTTTGACAGTGAATGGCAATGAACCTTCTTTCTTACTGGTCTTCTGGATTGGTATAACTCGTTTATTAGAGCCATTCACAATGTAAACTGATTGTGTTCCTTTACTTTGACTATCTGAAGATGGACTTAGGTCATTGATACCTGTTGTGACAAAAATATATTTAGGAGAAATTATATTTTAAATGCTTTCTTCTGGATACAAATTTCTTGAATACACTGTAAGATACCATTAAATGAAAATGTTTTAACAGGAAATTAGATGAACACCGATACATCTTACATTAAGAGAAAAGAAGGTGAAAGATTTATAATATAGATGACAAATTTCTGGTATTTCATACTAAGGGATTCCAGCACCCTTCACATAATAGAAATATGAAGGAATTCCCAGAGGTGTGAAGCCTTTGATTTCTTCATTCAAGAGCAAAAGTGTCAGAAAATTAACAGTGCACAATATGGTGTGACCCAAGTCAGTGATTGTCTCATTAATAAAGGAACCTTCAAACAGAACGGGGGGTCAAAGAGTCTTTCCACTGAAAGAAATCCTTCTCATTTGACAAAGGGTCTCATAGATAGTCTGTCACTCTAACCCATATTGAGCTTTATCCATGGTATTTTATAAGAATTTTTTATGTCAATTAAGATATTATTACAGTTTTTCATTTTAAAAAAAGATATAAAAAGGCTTTAACTCAACCACCTATTAAAGTAGGGAATAGTGGCATGTAGGTATAGAATCTTATAAACTACACTTTAACAGTCCATTTCACTAAGTTTCATTTTGAAAATGTGAAAGTAAACAAATATTCAAATAAATTCAACTTAATTTTCTAAGCATGAAAACAATATCAACTAAGGTAGAATGGCTAAAAGTTAATGGTGTTATGTGGTCAACCCAAAAAAACAACTACTCGAAATGTCAAGTACAAATTGAATTTTTTTAAAAATAGTTTGTAAACACACAGGTGCCAACTTTGGTGCTGTGTGCACATTTATATTTTTGACATATATAGAAATTGCTATTTTTTAAAAGTTGCAATTAATTATGAAATTTAAATAGGAATATCATACCAAAGTCAATAGATATGTCATCATCATATCCATAAGACAAATTGTAATCTTCTAAATCAGATGTGGTTGTGTTGACACTATGAGAGTCATGCAAGTATCCTTCCTTTAGTGGGCTCATATCATCTGCCATACGCATATCATATGTGTTTGATTCTAAGTATGTTGAGGGACTCAGACCTTTGATGTTATCAGGAGAACCTGTTGAGAACATCTCCAACTGATCATCTGTCATGTTGCTTTCTAAATTGTGGTTAAAATGTGAGATTGAGACTGACTCTTCAGAAATAACTGATATGCCACTGTCACTATGCTCACTGGGAGATTTGTGGGCTATGTAATCATGATCAGAATGAAAAATCTGTCTTTTGGCTGGGGGCTCTCCTTCAAGAAATGAATCAGGCTCAGCAGAATTAATTAGGCTTTCAAATAAGTTGTCACTTAACAGGTCCAGATCACACTATTAAAAAGAAAGACAAAATTCAACTGATTAACTGTATATATACATACACATGTATATGCATATACATACATACATATATAAATATACAGTGCTTTTTTTTGTGATAGTATGCACCGGTACGGTGTACCAGCACCTTTTTCAATGTGGGGAAAAAATATTACTTTTCTTGCTTTTTAACGTATATATTATTAATTTATTAATAGTTAAAAGTTAGGGGATCCATCACTGAGTGCTGCACCTATTTTGTTTACAAAAAAAGCACCGTAATAATACATACACATTATATATACACAATATAATTGAACTACTTAGACATATACTTTTTTAAAAGTAAAATAAAAAGTTTATTTCAATATTTAAAAAAATAATTAACTATTGGATCTTTTGATAAGGCTTGCTATGAAAATCCATCACTAGGAATGACTAGGAACTCATCTCATTGGATACAAGTTATTATCTTGACTATAGAGTCTAGATCTGATAAACTTTTTAAATTGAACTTTGTTTTTAGTCAAGAGTATGTTGATGTAGAATCTAGATCTAACAGTATTTTCTTCTTTTTTTTTTTCTCAAGAAAACACTTTAAATATTTCTAGATCTTAATTTAATAAATAATGAAAGATTAGATAAACCAGTATCCTTGTCTACTGAAATCTATCTAAAGTTTATTATTTTTTCATATTTATATTGATAAGAAAGATAGTATTATTTATATAATATAATCTAAATAAAGCCCACAGTCATCATGATATATCAAACTAATCATAGATAATGTATAAACTAATCTAATTTATTATATTCTAAACTCACAAAATCATGGTCTGTAAAGCTTGGTTCTATGTTACTATCCATAAAGTTCTGTTTTCCTATTCCATAGCCAACTGGCGTCAAATCTTTTAGAAGACCACTGTTGTCATCGAATAACAAATCCAGAACGTCGGACGATGGACTACCGTAGTCCATGATGATGTTGATTGATGGTGTTTAAATACTAATTATAATTTTTTTATTACTAGTTCATAAATGATAAAAGCTTCTTAATTCGAAAATATTAGAGTATTGATGTTTTACGAATATTTTAATTTATCTTCCAACACAATTTCGAACACGTCATCATAACTCTCGTCAATTTATTGAACGGGGATGTCCCTGAAAAAAAGAGTCAAGTGGCAGAGTGGGAGTAATAAGACGGACTAAGACGAGATCCTTTTTTTAGAGCTTAGGACTTAGAATTAAGTAACGAATTAAGAGATAAACAAGAAAATGTATTTTCGTTTTTTTTTTAATGCATTAACTGAAATATTTCCACACTATTAGTTATAGATCCAATACACTAATAAACGCTAGTTTTTTATATTGCTTGTTGGTCTTAGATCCATAGTCTACTAAATAGGGAGGGGTTACGGAGTTACTATGTTTAGTACAAAGTGTAAATTTCCGGTTTATCCTCTCTACGTGGAAGTCTACTAAAGCTAAGTTTCTTTTTGGTTTCGAACTCGTATTAGACCCATATCATTTGCTATAAATAGACTAATAGCTCTAGATCTAATTTTATCATAGGGTAAACCCATAACATGTTAAAACGACAGGATATTCATATTGTACATATGTTGGAGATTCATTTCGTCCATTTGAGATGGTCACACAATCTACTTCAATGTTGTTGTTTGTTTTCTTTTTTAAAGCAAAAGGGATTTGTTTGATTTATTAAAAATAATAATCTTAATAATATAAATAGATCTATACAAAAAATATATATAGAAAAAAGTCAATGGGGCTGAGGTCAGGTACGTGAATAGGGAAGGGGGGGGGGGGGGCAACCAATATGGAATGTCTCATGAGGGTAAAAAATTATGACTAACTGGCAGTGTATCAACTCATTTCTGATTTTTTAAAATTAAGGACAAACTGTCAACCAAGGTTGTTGTTTTTTTTAATATAAAGATGTCCCTGAAAGGCTAAGAAAAAGGATTATTCGCGTGAGACTAGGCATCGCAGACAACTGGAGGCTCCATCATGTGAGGCACTAGCAGATCCAAAACTTTGAAGTGGGGGGGGGGGGGGGCAATTTTTTTCAAAATTCTACCCTAACCCCCAGTAGACCCTATCCTATGCATAAACCGGCGCCTTCGACATTGGTCACGGAGGTCACGCATAAACGCACACACAGCATACACACACACACACACACACACACACACACACATATATATATATATATATATATATATATATATATATATATATATATATATATATATAAGTGATGCCCGACCTAATTTGACCTGCGGGCCATTTTAATTTCTGACATTTGTATTGCGGACCATATGATCGAAAGGTTACAGAAGCGAAATGAAATTGTCCTGAAACTATTTGATTAGAAGCCCGTGGATCTAATACTTACATTAATTAATGGGACATTTTATGTTCATCCTTTATTTTTTACGCGCCAGAAAATGGCTTCATTTATCTACTTCAAAAATGAACAACATTGTAGGTTGCTAAAGACCTATTATACCACCGACTCATTTTTCTTGTTTCTTTTGGGTAAATATTCCCATCTATCCTCTTATCTCTAGGCGTAATTTAGCAATTTTTTATTCGCTGTTCAAATAAAAAATGCGTCATATTTGTTGTATAATGTCCTTTAAAGGTTATCCTTTTTTCTTTTAAAGAACTGGTTCGATCTTATTGTTAGACAAGACTAGCTGTTAAAATCACCATTCAAGATACAAGTAATAAAATAACAAAGAAAGCTATATGAGCATCTTGAGGTAATAAGTCTTCTTTACAGCAGAAACGCATTCTCCTGACATCTACAGCTCATTATTCAAACTGTTCAAAAAGGACCTTTTGAAAATGTTTTACTTGAAAAATATTATAATATGAATTTACAGGCCCTTACTACATTGCAAATACAACCAATTCGTTCCTTGAAAAGATATTTAGATTAAGGCTTTGAGATCGCCGCCAAAAAAAAAAAAATTCGAAAAAAAAACAAAAACAGCCATGTTGAGGATGTTGATGCCTTTCTCTTGACAGCTAGGTGGTCTGGCGACGCACCATAAGCTCCCCCAGTGAGTCCGGGACGGAGCCCCGACGCCAAAAGCGTTTTCTTGCATTCTTCACTGCAGAAACACATTTTCCTGATACCCCACATATTTAGATTAAGACTTTGGGGATCCCCGCCGGAAAAAAAATTATTCGAAAAATAATATTTAAAAAAAAAAAAGCTAATTTGTAAGTGATACATTTTGTTCAATAGGCATGTCTGTAACTTTGTTTTGTTACAGATTTATAATTCAAAGCTCTGAACAAAAAATTTCAGAAGTGGGAGGAAAAATTAAGTGGGCCAATTAAACTCTAAATTGTGTGCACTTTTAGGATTTAAGCATATATTATAAGTTATTGTCTCAAAATACAATAGAAAAATATCAGTATGAGTAAAGGTTGGGTAAAGGTGACAAGGAAAATAATATTTGGGGTCAGAACTCATCTCAATTGTTACTCTTATAATGAACAATTTCGTATGAATTCTACATTTTCCAAAACAAAGTCTTTCTTAAAAAAACTTAGATAAATTCGTGTGCAATTACATAAACTCCATATTTGACTATTTAAAAACGTCATGTTTTCGTCTGGAAAGAGGAGAGGGAGGTAGAGTGAAAACGTTAATCATCGCTGCTTTTTATAATTTTGTGCTAAAAATTGCATTTGACACTAAAGAATAAGGGGTGGGGGCGACAAGATATAAGAATTTAATTTATAGCTCTATAGCTCTTTAAAAAAATATTGGTTTGTCTGATGAGCGGACGGCGATTGCATGTATTGCAATGTATTGTATTTCCCACCTGGTACAACCCTTTTCATTTAAATTTACTAATGATAAAATTTGAGATCAGAGTCTGTGTGCGACCTAATATACAAATGGGTTAAAACATCAATATGTACCTTATATTATATAGATATTCAAGTTAATTTTGTTCAAAAACTATGATTTCTCTATAAAAATAGGACCACCCCCCACTCAGGGCTAGAGTGGGGAGGGCAGTAGAAGCAATCGCCCCCCCCCCTCACCTCATCGAATCGGCTAAGCTACCAGAAGTGTAGCGATATAATATAAAAAGTATATAGTAATTCTACTAATTTTGTTCACAAACTATGATTTCTAAATAAAAGTAGGACCGTCCCCCCCCTCCCTCAAAGGGTTTAGGTAGGAGGGGCAGTCGATGTATTCGCCCCCCCCCCCCCCCAATTGGCTAACAGGGAAACGACATTATATGACGTATCTAAATATCGGTTAAAATATCAATTACAAGTTTTAATTCTATTTATATTTTATTGATTCTGTTAACAAGCTGTGATTTCTACTAATAAATTTAACCGCCCCCCCCCCCCAAAGCTTATGGACGGTCGGCCAGGTGTGTGTGTGGGGTCGCCCCTATAATCCGTCCCCCCCCTCCCCCCCCCCCCCCCCCCCTGGATCCGCCAGTGGCCTAGGGGTTCATAACCAGTTCTCTTTACTTTTCCCAGTCAACATCTGTTCTTAGGAGATTATTAAAAGTGAGGCAAGTCCCAGTATTTATTTTACGGTGTACAGCCAGATTTTTTTATTTTTTTTGGACGTCCCTTCCTTGTTCTTCCACTTTTATACCTTGAAGGGTTACTTTTGAAAGTGAATCATAAACTATGTCTTACAATATGACCGAACTGAACTGCCTAGCTTTCGTCTCTTCGCTGGATAGAGTTGTTTCTCCTTATTGCCATCATGTGAGTGCTGACTTGTAAGAGTACAAACTCATTTGTCTTTTTTTCCTGGTATCTAATACCCAGAAATTTCCTGTAGTATTTACTCTCAAAGGCTTCAACTCTTCTTTCACCTTTATAAATCACTGGCTTCAGTGTCCAACTTTCACAACCATAGGTCTATATAAAAGTAGCCAAGCATACGGTTCACAGAGACCGCATAAACCAGGGGTCTCAAACTCATATCAGCATGTGGGCCGCAGTGGAAAGTAACAACCAGTCAGCAGGCCGCACCACGAAAAAGAGAATGTTTTTTTATTAAATTTTACGAACACTACTGTCACTGCAGTTAAATGCTAAAATACAGACAGTTTAGTTTACTAAAATAAATTGACGTTGTCTTCGTCACTAATAAAAAAAAGCAGAAACTGTAGTTCCCAAAATAAAAAAAAAACAAAAAAAAAACAACCAACTATAATTACTAGGCCTACTGAAGAAGGCTCGTCACTCATGCTTCTGTCCACTCAGCTGAGAGCGTTTGGCAGAGACCAGACCAGGTTAGGCCTGAAGTCGCGTGTAGTGGAAGGACGCAAGGTTGCACTCATATGCTCATCAGTCAGTCTTGATCGTAATGCTGTTTTGTTGATCTTCATTCTGGAGAAAAACTGTTTGCAAACCTAAGTACTTCCAAACATCGCTAGAATTCTAGCAGCTGCGCAGAATAAGTTTGGAAACTTCTCTCTGGGAAGAAACTGGTAGAAATCTGGAACGTCAACATCAGCTTATTTTTGCTTCAGAAGGTCCAGTAGTTCCATCTGGACTTCCTCTGGGACGTTTTTCAAGTCAACTGCGAACGGAGTGGCAGCAAGGAAAAACTGTGGTTTGAGAGCAGTGAATTGCTGAAAGCGGTGTTCAAAATCTTCCAGTAGTCTGGAGAGAATGTCTACGTAGTCTTTCAGTCACCGTGGTTCAACCGTTATGCCTTGTAGAAAAGAGAAATGAGCCAGGTTTCCATCTGCTAGCTGAGTGCCCCACAAAGTCAGCTTGCATCTGAATGATTTGATGCGGTCAAACATCACGGTAATCAGCTGCTTTGTGCCTTGTAGTTGTGAATTGAGTGCATTGAGTTGTTGCGTTATGTCATTAAGAAAAGCATGATCCGACAAAAACATTGGGTCTCTGAGCTGAGGTATGTCTCTGTCTTTCATTGCCATGCTATTTCCCGCCTCAGTTCAAAAAATCTCTGCAGCAATTTTCCATGACTCAACCATCTGATTTCCGTATGATACAGCAACTCTCCGTATTCCGTTTCTAAATCAGCTAGAAATGACTCAAACTGTCTTTGCCTGTGCACTTATGAAGTTCACCGTCTTCACGACAACATTCATCACGTTCTTCATTTGTAGACTTTTGCTACAGAGTGCTTCTTGGTGCAGAATGCAGTGTATGGCTGCAAAAGGTTCCGCCAAACTGAGCTGATTCTGTTTCTCTACCATTAATCCAACAACACCAACCTTCTCTGAACACATTGCTGATGCACCGTCCGAAGCCACTGAAACAAGTTTTTCCCACGGTAGAACACATCTGTCAATACAAGCTTCCAGTTCTTGAAACACGTCGCGTCCAGTCGTCATTCCTTTCATGGGTAGTAAGTCCAATATCTCGTCAACAATGTTCAAGTTTTCGTCGACCCC